GTGTGAGAGAGAGAGAAGAAACCGTGTGAGAGAGAGAAGAAACCGTGTGCTGACACTATCGGACCGAAGAAACCGCCCTTATCAACGGGCAACAAAGCGGGGCGACATGCACAAAGGACAAAAAATATGGCGGTGCATCTTTCCATGTTCTGGCGGAAGATTCATTCATACGTTGGGTGGTGGAGAGCGAAGTGCCGATGAATCAGGTAAAACACGTAACGTATCTCTGGAATTTTTTCTATTTTTTTTTTGCAGAATCTCTGAACAAATGAGACTGAATCCTCCGCTTGAACATGGAAAGATACATTGCCATATATGTCTTGTTGTGCATGTTGAGAGTAGTGCAGTGAGCCCGTTGGTGAACATTACCGTTGAGGTTCTGACAGGTTGGACGCGCCGGGCTTCACTCGTGCAAAGAAATTCTGATGTTCTTCCTTTACGTTTTTTTCTTTTTATTAAAAAAAAAAAATTCCAGGAAAAACGGCTGTGCGAGGCTACGCCCGCTCAGCCCCTACGGGGCCCTATTTGCAGCACGTCGGCCGCCCTAAGTGAAGGCAGGCGCGACAGGCCCTCAGGGCCTCGATTTTCAGGGTACCCCGACTGGGGAAATTCAGACAGTTGCGCTGCGCCAGTTGGTTGAAGGCGCCCAGGCCCAGGCCATATTTTGCAAATGTATCTGAATGGTGACCTGGGCCAGACGCGTGCGAAAGGCCGTGAGCAGGCCAAGGGCAGTTGGGCACATGCAACCAACAGGCCCTGGGCCTGCGTGTGAGGTCTGGGTCTGTGCCTACCGGGGCCTACTGGAAAGCTTCCAGGACTGGACGCAGGCAGGCCACTTCGATATAGGGAAGGGCCTGCCTCCTCATTCGGCATTCGGGTGCTGGCTGCATGCTGCGCGAGCGCTGCTGCGCTCTTTGCTGGCTGGCTGGCACTCACGCTCTCACGGGCGMGCAGGAAGTAGCGGGCAGCCATAGCCGAGCTGCTCCGCTGTGAGCTGGGTGTGACGCAGGGTGGTCCTTGGGTGATAGTGGCATCTGTGTGGTGTGGATCGGGGTTGTGAGTGTTGCGAGAGACATACCTGGTGCTGGAAGCGTGCGGCATTGTCCGCTGTATGCTCGTACTTCAGGAAGCTGTTGAGGTCAACATCGGCATTGTAGTATTAGGCTAGATAGGATCTGTAGTCTGGGCGCCGAGCGCCAAGATGATGATGAGAGACTATTTCAGCATTGTCAATTACGAACTATTGGTGTGTTCTTATTTGGTGAATCTCGTGATGCATGTCTGCTGTTCGTTCGAGGTCAAGACTATCTGGACACATATGTATGATGCTGTTTGATTGCTGGAGTTCGCTAATGCTCATCTTCCTTGCAATTTGGTATCGGAGCTGTGGTACGGTGCGCTCATCTGGCGCTTGTCTCTTTCCTTATGCGGTACATACGTGCGGTCTGCTACGTAAGTGGGCTGTGATTGGTGTGTAGTGAGGAGGGGAAGTGACAAGTATTGGCGACCCAGGTGTTGAGGGGCATCGCCTGGAAGGCTAAGGTGTGAATATTGGGTGTTCGCAGTGTGATGAGAACTATCCGTTGGGTGATTGAGGCTGAGGTGGAACGGCGAAACGCAGGTTGTGCCGATGCTGTGACTGGTCATCGCAATCATCTTCAGATCATCTGGTGAGAATTATCTCTATGATTGGGGGCAGCTTGAATGAGGTACGTTGCTCTTAACCTTATCTACCCTCTTCATCACTTCTTACCGTGAGGTTGTGAGTTYTGTCTTGAGAGTCCTCTCATCGTGAGGTGTCGTGTGCGCTCAACCTTGAGAGTCGTGATTGTTCACGTGGAGCATCTGGGGGAAGACGGGCGGAGCTTCTTGAAGGGCCCTGGACGAAGCACTCGGGTCACGGTCACCATGCCAACCCGCTGGGACTAGCACACGCATGCTTCGCTGCAAGTCGTTGGTTCTGCTGCTTGCGCAAGATAGAGGTTAACTCGAGTATGGCAGCCTCTAAAGACGCATACCAGACCGTCTATAAACATTTCTGGTTGGGGACTCGGCTCTGATCTGGCTGTGATCGTCGTCCGGCTGCGACGTAAAATAATTCCTGGAGTCACTTGGGGGCGGACGTTAAATTGCCTCTTGATCAGCAAGATTATCTGAGTGGAAGGCTCGTCGGCGTACGAGGATAAATAAGAGTGTTGTGGCTGCCTTGCTCGAAACCTGGGGCACAGGGGTGGGACCGGATTGCACACCTTCAGACACGCTTGACTTCAGATGATTAGGGACGTGACACTGTGACATTGAGAAGAACTGTGGGAGGGGTAGGTTCCAGGTGATAAGTTCGGGTTTAAATTTCATGCTATGAACAGACGAAGTCAGTCAACATTATTTTTATTTTGATTAGTTAGATGGACAGCCATGTGACATCTGACAGACAGCATTAGTTTAGAATAATGTTTATTCCTGATGCTTTCTCTTTTTGAGAACTAATCTTACTAAAAATAGTATTGACGGTAGGAATCTGACTAACCTGTTGACCCCAAATGAGATCTGTTTAGCCACCATTAAATAGTTGGTATGTGCATTATGCTGCGGTAGGCATCTAGAATGATCTAGTGTAGACATTGCACAGTGTTGTAGTCCATGAGCGACACAGGGGACACTGGAGAGGACGACCGCAGGATCTTGCGATCTGCCAGAGGCCCGCTAACTCACGTGTCCTTAGGACCGGAGGGTGATAGGGAACTGTTCCGCCGGCAGAGGGAGAGGCAGCAGCAGCAGAGGAGAGCTAGAGCAGCTGAGGCCAGCAGAACCTTAGTTGGCGAGGCCGGTGCTACAGCAGCCATGGCTACCACAGCCATGAGCACGTCTGCGCAGCATACTTCCCAAGTCGGTAGTTCAGGTACCGCCGGGTCCACGATCACACAGACCGTGAGTCAGTCCACTGGCTTAGTGGCAAGCCAGCTCGCGGTGTTGACCCCAGAGGATGTCGCCATCCAGCAGGCAGCCCTGCAAGAGGCACAACTACAGCAGGCATTAGGACAGATAAAAAGGGAGAAGGAGATGATGATTAGAAGAAGAACCAGGATGCAACGGAGAGGGGCAGACATAGAGGAGTTAGAGACGATGGACCTGACGGATATGGATGATGATGTGAAGGTAGTTAGGAGGGCCCTACTAGGCGTAATTGAGATGCAGGAGCATCAAACTACCATCCTTCAGGACATTCAACAAAGCCTAGCCGTGTTGGCAGGCCGTGCTCAGGCAGCACCATCACCAGTCGGGCCTGGTGCCTGGCCCGTGCCATATCCTCCTTTTTCTATCCCACCGGTGATAGGTGTATCCCCATATGTAGCCCCGTCAATGGTTGCAATCGTTTCCTTGGGCATGCCGCTGTCAGGAGGGGTAACAACAGGGAGTACTTTACAGGTTCCTGTACAGACAGTGTTCACTCAGAGTCCGTTGTAGGTTGCGGTCACCACGCAGCCTGCTGTCTCGCAACCTGTGCAGCCACAGGGCACACAACCCTAGCAGCTAGCACAACAACCTGTATCACCGGGTCAACAGCCCGGGGTGGTGCAGGGACCGGGACAAACTCAGTGGGTTCCGAAGATGACCATCGCCGCTCCCAAACCTTTTACAGGGGACAAGAGAGGCGAAGACCTTGACACTTGGTTGAGGGCAGTGCCGGTCTACGTCAGGTGTAAACTCACCTTGCCGCAAGAAGAAGTGCTTGTGGCTGCATCCTACCTAGAGGGTAGTGCAGCAAGATGGTTGAGTGGTTTAGTACAACTCCAGGGGCACGGTCATGACTTCCGCTCTTGGGTAGTCTCTCAGAAACTGGAGGACTTCCTGAAGATGGTGGAAGAGAGATGGCATGATCCTCAGGAGGCCCCAAAGGCCACTGATGCGATCCTGACACTGCACACGCGGCAGTTTAAGTCAGTTAGGGAAGCCACAGACGCTGTTGAATGTTTAATCTGTGTCCCAGGTGTTCGCTATGACCCCCAGGTCCTGTTGACTTCGTACTTGAGATGCTTATCCCAGCCTCTCAGGAACCAGTTGGCAAAAGAGGCCAACATCAATATGCACCAAAGGTCGCCAAACCAGTGTTTTATCCCACCCACATCCAACCCAGTCCAAGCCTTGATATGTCATATCTACCCGCACCCAGTGCCACCCATGTAAAAAAAAATTATTTTACCCTGACCCAGCCCACCCAAGCTAATGAAACATTTTCGTACCCGTACCCAGCCCACCCAGAATCTGCAGTGGAACCCTTACCCCTACCCAGCCACACCCACCCCTAGATTTAATCCGCCCGCATCCGCCCGCACCCACGAGCAATTTTCATCCACCCGTGCCCGACCGTACCCATGCCCAAAGTTTACCACCCAGCATGCCCTTCTTACTCTCCACATACACAACGGATAAAAAATATGGCAATGTATCTGTCCATGTTCTAGCGGGCAATTTAGTCTCATTGAGCACATTTGGAGACTATTGGAGCGAGGCCCGTTGCTAGGCCACGCCTATTTTGCACATTTCGAGAGTAGCGAAAAAAGAAAACAACCAGGCCTAATTCCTACTAGTGGTAGGACCAGGCTTGAATACCTGGGGAGGCTGGGAATAAAAAATGGAGGGTGCAGGCCAAATACGTAATGCCGCATGACCCTAATACAACCTACATGTCCTATACTAGCCTAGTATACAGGCCTACAGACTTCGGGTCACCCGAGCGAAACCTCTACCCGACCGTACCCACCCACACACTTTTCCAACACCCAGCCATACCCCCCCAAAACTTTCCCAACCCACCCAATTCCACCCAACACATTTTCACACCCAGCCAAACCAGCCCACACCCTTTCTGCCACACCCGCACCCAACCAAAACTGTCGGTTACGGCTGGGTACGGTCGGGTCAGATCACGGCCACCCGTTGGCGACCTCTAATATGCACAACTTTCCTTCGTTCAACAAGGCGGCCCTAGACCTAGAAGCAAAGATAGGGCATGGACAGACACCCACTACGGACGGGAGGAAGAAGACACTGCCTCCCAACTGGAAAGCGAANAAGATAGGGCATGGACAGACACCCACTACGGACGGGAGGAAGAAGACACTGCCTCCCAACTGGAAAGCGAAGGGTCGCATCATGTTTGTCGACAATGATGGTTCAACCATCGAGTTGGATGACAACTTCCAGGACGGAGTAGGTGCTGAGGCGGGTGGCGAAACTTCAGAGGGTGGAGTAGTCGCCGCCGTAACTCAACAAAAAGGTAAGGGGACCGGTAGACGCCGAGGGGGCTCCCGGTCTAGGAATCAAGTAGACCCTAATGCTCCCCCATGGGAGAAAGTAGGTCTTTCAGAGGACGTGTGGAGAGATCGGTGGAATAGCCAGGCCTGCATTCGTTGTGGCCAATACGACCATAACCAGTTCAAATGTAGGAATAAGAAAGTCACCGATAAGATCCTGCCTACTATGGGGCAGGCGGTAGGATCCTCATCTCCCGTAGGTAGCAATGTTGCCAGTTCATCAGACACTGCTCCGGGAAACACATCAGGCTAGTAGGAATAGTAGTTGTTCCTACTAGGGACGAGGTGGTGGAGACACCCTCGCCATCTCGCATCATGGCCCAAGCTACCGATTCCCTTGTCGTCCCGCAAACACATTCAGACCCATCGACCCTTTGCTCGATGAATGTGTTTGAATCCTTAGAGGAGCTAGAGGAGGAGTGGTCTAGACTAGACCCGCTAGCTTCTTGGACGACACTAGCTAAAGCCCCGAAGGGTGAGATGTTTGTCAGCGAGATAGTCGTAGGCGGCCGCAAGGCCGGGGCCTATTATGACACTTGCTCGACACGGAACTTTATTAGTCGCGCGTGCGTTGAGAGGCTGCGTTTACAGGGGCAAGTGCAGCGCCTGAGTCGACCTGTGCCAACAAACAGCGCATGGTAGTTAATGACTACCTTTAGGATGTAGAATGCCTGTTCCCGTTCGCGGGAGGGGAGTTGAGGCATCGTGTCTCATTCCTAGTGAGCGATGATCTCCCTATGGATATCTTGTTAGGTATGTACTACCTCTCTGTGGCACAGCCCCAGTTTGACTGGGACCGAAAACCAGGTGGAGGGACCGCCAGACTACACAAATTCAAAGCTAGTAGTCTGATCGATTCCCATGGATGCATGTGTGCGGCCGCGTTCTATAACTACTATAAGCAACATCAGGAGGAGGGTATGTACTTAGTTTATGTCTCTGCTGCAGGCGAGCCGGTGAAAATGCCGCCGGAGATAGAGGGAGTAGTTTCCAAGTACCCTGATCTATTTGAAGAGCCAACAAGGGGTTGTTGAGAGGGAGGTTGTCCACGCGATAAAAATTATCCCAGGATCTAGTATTCCGAAGGGTTGGATCTATCGGATGTCTCCAGGCGAGCTTGATGAGCTTCGCCGCCAACTCAAGGAACTCGTAGAGAAGGGTTGGATCCGGCCGAGTGTCTCTCCTTATGGGTCTCCAGTTCTATTCGTGCCTAAGAAGAAGGAGGGTACTCTTAGGATGTGCATTGACTATAGGGGCCTCAATGCCATCACTGTAAAGAACAGAGAGCCCCTACCGCGCATCGACGATCTGYTAGATAGAGTGCAAGGGTRTCGGTACTTCAGTAARATAGATCTGAAGTCCGGGTACCATCARATTGCAATCCGGCCCGAGGATCAACACAAAACCGCATTTCAGACCAGGTACGGTCTGTACGAGTTTGTGGTGATGCCTTTTGGCCTGTGCAATGCTCCTGGCACCTTTCAGCACGCTATGAATCGGATATTCCATGACTACTTGGATAAGTTTGTCATCGTGTACCTCGATGACATACTTATTTTTGGTAAGACTGTCGAGGAGCACGTTGCACACTTGGACAAAGTCCTTAGTCTCCTGCGACAACACAAGTTCAAGATCAACGGCGAGAAGTGCGAGTTTGGCCGCACCCATGTCTTGTACTTGGGTCATGAGATCTCCGCGGAAGGGTTAAAGCCCGATGACGCGAAGGTGGCCAGCATTCGTGATTGGCCACGACCTCAGTCTGTGCCTGAGATGAGATCTTTCTTAGGAATGACCGGTTACTATAGGACTTTCGTTAAGAACTATAGCATAGTGACCGCTCCTTTGACTGATCTGACTCGCCTTGACACCCCGTGGGAGTGGACAGATAAGTGCGAGGCTGCTTTCAGACATCTGAAGCATGCATTGGCGCACTACGAGGTCTTGAAGCTTCCTGATCCTGACAAACCATTCATAGTCACCACGGATGCTAGCCAATACGGCATTGGCGTCGTGCTTGCACAACAGGAGGGGCCAAAGTTGAGGCCTGTTGAGTACATGTCCAAGAAAATGCCGTCCCAGAAGTTGGCTAAGTCCACCTATGAGAAGGAACTCTATGCCGTTTACAAGGCTCTGACCCATTGGAGACACTACCTCCTTAGGAGGTTCTTCATCCTCGGGACTGATCATCAGACCCTAAGATGGATGAGAACTCAGTCTGTACTCTCTGACGCCCTCAAGCGTTGGATTGAAGTCATTGAGCAGTACGACTTTGACCCTAGGTATCTGAAAGGGGAGTACAACAAGGTTGCTGATGCCTTGTCGCGTAGACCTGATTTCTCCGGTGCGCTGATTACTGAGTTCGATATGACGGACAATGTTACTCAATCTTTGGTGGAAGCCTATCGAGAGGACCAGTTTATGTCTGAGATCATACGCAGACTCGAGGCGAAGGATAAACGAACTTCAGCCGAGTTTGAGTTAGTCAATGGCTTGCTGTTTCTTGAGAAGGAAGGGAATAAACGTTTGTGTGTCCCTGATAAAAAGTCTTTGCGTAGTTTGTTTTTAGGTGAGTGTCATGACGACACCGGCCATTTTGGGTACAAGAAGACCGCAGCCAATTTGCTGCAAAGGTTCTGGTGGCCCACGATGTTAAGAGATGCTAAGCTGTACGTGGAAACTTGTCAAGTTTGCCAACGAGACAAGCCCCGTACTTAGGCTCCTCTTGGGCTGCTCAAGCCCCTTTCGATTCCGGAAAGGTCGGGTGAAAGCTTGTCCATGGACTTTATGGATACCCTAGTCACCAGCAAGAGTGGGATGAGACAGATGTTCGTCATCGTGGATAGGTTTAGTAAGTATGCTAGGTTAATAGCCATGCCGGAAACAGCGAAGACTGAGTATGTAATCAGGCTGTTCAAAGAGAACTGGGTGAGGGATTTTGGATTGCCTAAGTCTATTGTAAGTGACAGGGATGTCAGATTTACAAGTGAGTTATGGAAGGCCGCTGCAGCTTAACAGGGAACTCAACTGCAAATGACTTCTGGAAACCATCCAGAAGCAAACGGCCAGGCTGAACAGATGAACCGCGCTGTTCAACACCTGTTGAGGCATTACATTAAGCCCAATCAGGTGGACTGGGACGAGAAGCTTGCTCTTGTCGCCAGTCTGTACAATAACGTTGTACACAGCGCTACCGGGGTAAGTCCTAACAGTCTACATCTTACCTTTAGGCCTAGACTGCCTTTAGACTTCCTACTCCCTGATAACCAGCCCACTGTTGCACCGGGCACTTTGGAGTTCGCTTATCGTTACGAACAGAAAATGCAGGAGGTTGTAGAACACATGCAGAAGGCGCAGGCAGCAATGATAGAATTTGAGAATAAACACCGCCGCCCTTCTACATTTCAGGTTGGGGACAAAGTCTGGGTCAAGTCTTCAGAAATGGGACAGGAATTCGGGATTTCCCGCAAACTCATGCCTCAGTACTTTGGACCTTGGGAAGTTTTAGACGTAGTAGGGACAGATTCCGATGGTCCATCTTATGTCATCCGTATCCCTGGTCATCTCAGAACTTACCCAGTCTTCCACGCCTCTAAGCTCGCTGCGTTCAAGGAAACTGGACAGTTTCCCTCTCGTCGATCTATGCTGCCTCCAACCATGGACGGAGAGGTCGGCATTGACGATATCGTCGACCACAGAGAAATGCCTGTGCAGAAACCTCCAGGAAGGGGACGTCCTCCAAAGCCAAAGTTGCAGTTCCGTTGTCGAGCGCATCGGCCCGGCACCGCACGCGGCGGCGCGGGACCCTCTCGGCCGCGTCACGCAGGAGTTGGATCAATCTCGACATAACGCGCGAGTGGAGCTTCCTTAGGCCGCTCCGGCCGAGTGCGCCAGCCATACCTCTCGCGAGCCCCTACGACAGGATAGGGCCTACGCGAGGCACAACTTACCTCCACCTTACGGGAGTTGTCACCTCCCATTGGTGGGCGTATCCCCCCCGAGCTACCAGTCCACAATACGAAAGTTGATCAGTTGCAATCGCAGAGGTGGACCAGCCGAGGGCGTTTCTCGTTCGTTGTAGCATAGGGGGTACGCACGGTAATACGCCTATCGGACCCGCACGCGAACCGCCATCTTGGGGGGTTGAAGTCCCAAGCGCGGCTTGAAGTCGGTCGACTAGGACACACCACGCGCACACCACTCTAACAACCACAAGGCAACACACACACATATACACGAAACGACACAACACAAACACGCGACAACGCTCCTAGCCCCTCGGTGACCATCCCATAACTCTCTGATGCAGGAATCGAATAGGCATCGCGCGCGAAACTTGATATAAAACCGCGCGGACGCAGGGCTAACTCATATCGATTCGCAATGCAAGCGTACGCAAGCGATCGCAATGATGGCGTACTATATAGTACCCATGATCATGCGGCCCTTGTTAATCGCGAGGGTCGCATTCGACACTCAAGTGTCAGCTGACACGCGCCTTGAGGGTTAATCTCTCGACGCTGAACAACCGCCATGCGTGGTTGAAGACCACACACCCTCTTCTGCACCCTTATGCAGAGTGGGTGGTACACAGGCCCATGCCTGTGGTGGTAGTCGTCTCTCGCGGCCTTAGGGGTGAATCCTCCCCGATGTCAGGCGGCCACAAGTAGTGCGCCGCCTGAAAACGGCAGTTTAGGGGTTTAGGCTCAGGGTTAAGTCCGCGTTTTGACAGTGCTTTGGGATGACCGGG